GGAAGGTGGCTCAGTGGTAGAGCGCTTGCCTTGCATGCATGAGGCCCTGGGTTCCATTCCTCAGCACCACATAAGCAAAAAGAAAAAAGCCAGAAGTGGTATGTGGCTCAAGTGGGAGAGCGCTAGCCTTGAGCTGAAGAGCTGGGGGACAGCACCCAGGCCCAGAGTCCAGGCCCCACGACCGGACCCCAAAAAAAAAGAGCCAGAGAGCCAGGCTGAGGGTGGGGTGGCATGGGCAGGCCGCCCTGTAAGCCATCTCTTTTCTGTATACAGGCAAGAGACGCTACAATATTAAACTGTGGAAAACTTTCACTGACTGCTTCAACTGCCTGCCCATCGCAGCCATCGTAGACGAGAAGATATTCTGCTGCCATGGAGGTGAGGGGGGCTGTAGGCACATACTGAGAGACTCCTGGGAAGGGAGCAGCCAGACATGCCTACAGGCCTTACAACAAAGCTGTTAATAGGCACCTGGAATAGCTCTTGGGCTCTTCTTGGATATTGCTTCTCGTAGGAAGTCCCTTTCTCTCTCTTCCCCCCCCCACTGCTAAGCCGTACTCTTTCTGGCTGCGGCATGCAACATCCTGCATGGAACTCATTTGTCTCTTTTCAGGCAGGAGCATCTTTGTGCTTATGTTCTGGACTTGGAAAAGGCTGAGGGAGATGGTTCCTGCCTGCCTGGGCTTCAGGAGTCCAGGAGAGGGGCCCAGTGATGTTGGGAGCGTGAGGCTGGGAGTCGAAAGCTCCCTAGAGGAGTGGGGGCTTGCTTTGAGTTTTGAGGAAGTATCCTGTCCCAGCAGGCCTGTCCCCAGACTTGCAGTCCATGGAGCAGATTCGGCGTATCATGCGGCCCACAGATGTGCCTGACCAGGGCCTGCTGTGTGACTTGCTGTGGTCTGACCCCGACAAGGATGTGCAGGGCTGGGGCGAGAACGACCGAGGTGTCTCCTTTACCTTTGGGGCTGAGGTAGTGGCCAAGTTCCTACACAAGCACGACTTGGACCTCATCTGCAGGGCACACCAGGTATGGGTTGGTGGCCCTGGGTTGGGGCAGTAAGGGGAGTGGGTAAACTTGCAGACCCAACTATTTTTGTTCTTGCCCAGGTGGTAGAAGATGGTTATGAGTTCTTTGCCAAGCGGCAGCTGGTGACACTTTTCTCAGCTCCCAATTACTGTGGCGAGTTTGACAACGCTGGCGCCATGATGAGCGTGGATGAGACCCTCATGTGCTCCTTCCAGGTGGGTGTGGGGAAGGGGCCAGTAGGCCCTGTGGGTCACTGCCGGGGACCTGACCAGCTCTGTCTCTTTTAGATCCTCAAGCCCGCGGATAAGAACAAGGGCAAGTATGGGCAGTTCAGTGGTCTGAACCCCGGAGGCCGCCCTATCACCCCACCCCGCAACTCTGCCAAAGCCAAGAAATAGCCTCCGTGTGCCGCCCGCCCCTCTGCCCAGATGATGGATTGATTGTACAGAAATCATGCTGCCATGGCGGGCCCACCCATCACAGGGACACAGCATTAGTGTCTCCTTTCCTTTTTTAATGGATCAATAGCAGCATCCAGTCCCTCAGGGCTCCCTCCCACCTGTCCCTCCAGTGGCTGCAAGTGGGATCCTGGGGCCAAGGCTGCAGCTCAGGGCAATGGCAGGCCAGATTGTGGGTCTTCAGCCTGGCTTGGCCACAGGGCTGCCAGCCAGACCCTGGGGCAACCCATCTGGTCTCTTGAATAAAGGTCAAAGCTGGATTCTCGCCACGGCCTGTTTCCTTGTCCCAAACACTGGGCCTGGCAGCCCTTCTACACAAAGCCATTTGGGAAGGCAGGCTGGCTGGGCACAGGCCCAGCCAGGGTAACCCCAGCCACACAGGTCAAATCCAGAGGCTCTTACAAATTCCAAGGCAGGGCCAAAGTGTTGGGAAAATAAGAAATTACCAGCCACATGGGGGGGGAGGGGGTCCCAGTGGTGTGTCTGGGGGAAGGGCAGCTCGTGATTGGCAGTAGGAGTAGATCAACAGCACTATGATTTTTTTCTTAGAGGTAAGCCTCAATTGAGAAGGCAGGCTTTCAGCCCTGGCCAGATGGCTAGAACTTAGCTTGAGACTCTGGTGAAGAGGTGAGGACCTGCCAATCAGATGGCTTCTAGCCACCAGACCTGGCAAGAGGCGTGATTGGTTGCAGTCTGGAGGGAGATGACAGGACTCAAGCCAAACATGGTGGAGTGGGGCCTGCAGGAGGCAAGCAGAACTGCCAGCATTGCCCTTATGCCATGCCCTGGTCAGAGCCCCTGTCCTTCCCCTGCTGGGGCTTCTAGTCCATGGCCTTTAGCTTCTTAGCTCAGCCTTCACCATCACTGTCTTCAGCCAGCACGGGGCTAGGGCCCTGGGGGGAGTGTACAGGAGCTAGGATGGAGCCAAAGAACAGCGAGCGGAACTGGAAAGGGAACAGAGGAAGCCCATGAGTTCTGCAGGCTGTTCCCTTCCGCCCCTCCCAGCCCTTGCCCCTACAGCCAGCCTCTACCTTCTTGGGTGGGGGAGTGCCAGGCACTGTGCTGGGCTCAGCTTCTTCATCAGAGTGCAGGCTGGGGTCGTGGGAGGTCTGGAAGCCAGGTGAAAGAGAAATGGGGGGCTGTGCCCGAAAGCCCGAGCTGCCTGCGGCAGTTTCCATGGCAATCATGTAAGAGTCAATGTCATCACTGGCAAAGTCATCCAGCTGGGATGTGCTGTAGGCAGAGACAGTGTCAAGAATAGGGAGAGAATAGGGTACAGACACACCCCACCTTAGAAGGCCCAACAGGAGGTAGGGGCCTCAAGACTGCTTGTGAGCTCTTGGTTTTATTACTTCCTGATTTGACTGGAGAGGAGAGGATGCAGGGGTTAAGTGGGGGCTTCCTGCAGGGAGTGGGCCTGGAATCCCTTTGATCAGAGTTCAGGTAGGGGCCTGAGGGAGGCATCCTGGGGTCTATTTAGCTCAGCTGGGGGAGGGAAACTGCAAACCCTGTGAATGAGGGCCACAAGGGGGCCCAAGCACCTCCCCCCCACCCCCTTCCCGGGAGACAGGAGCTGGAGCGCACTGGAGCTAAGGGACATGCCGGGCTGGGGGCCAGACTAAACTTCCTCTGCTTCAGCTACACTGGGCCCATCCTCCCCACCCCACCTGCCCTCCCAGCCACCTGCTTCCTCAACCCCAGGCAGCCCACAGCCTCTAGCAGCTCTTTTCCTCCTTGGCCTGGGAGGCGGCTCAGAGGGAAGGACTCAGCCAGAGGAGGAAGCCAGTGGGACCTCAGGGACGCTTCTCAGTGGGAGGGGTCTTACTACATCTGACCAAGAAGGCTGCGCCTCCAGGGCTGGGGCCTGGCAGGAAGTGTGCTATGTTGGGGGGAGGTGCGGAAGCTGCAAACAACAAAGATGGAGGGCCCTGGGAAGGGAGGCAGGGGACTGGTGCCCTCACCTGTGAGCCTGCAGCTGAGGTGCTGTCCTGGGGAGCTCCGGGGAGCCCAGGTACTGCAAGTGTGGGTCCAGGTCTGCAAGTGTGGCCAAAACAAAGTGGCCATCCAGCAGCGAGTCCTCAATGGTAAATATGGCTGGCCTTGGCAATGAACAGACATGGCGAGGTCATTCCTCTCCTGGGATCCCAAAGCCCTTCCTCCCCTGGGCAGAGCCTGGGCATTACCTTCCTGGGGCATCAAAGTGAATGCTAAGAGGCAAGTTCGCTGACTCTGCAAAGCTCAGGAGCCCCTGAGAGGAAAGAAGCAGGCGGGGAGGGAGGGCTTGGGCTGGGAAGAGGGTAAGTGGGTAGGGTAGGGTGGCGGTGGGGGGGAACTTACCCTGAATTCCTTGAGGCAGAATGTGATAGCTACCCCTTCTGGAGCCTGCAGTTGCTGGAAATCCTCTTCTCCGATGCTCATCTCAGTTACCATGGCTTTGACAGTGCTGTCTGTAGGGGCAGGCACAGGAAGAGCCTGGGTCCCTGGCTCCAACCCCACTCCCAGCTGGGGTCCCTCCCAGGGCATGTCCAGCTCCCTCACCTGCCTCTTCTTCCTGGTAGCTACGCAGGATGACCCGGCGGCCACGGCCGATGCCCAATGTCACTTCAGCCAGTGCAGGGGAGAAGGGCAAAATGGCATCCCCCAGTACTCTGTGAAGAGGGCAGAGTGTCACACCCGAAGGAGCCAAGGCAAGGCAGTGACTTACACATGAATGGTGGGTGTGCGGGCCTAGCACATGCAGGGATGAGTGGACAGGATTGGCCTGCCAGGTCAAAAGCTTCTGAGTGAAGGGGCAAGCAAAGAATCTGGAGAAGGAAGCAGCAAGGCTGGGCAGGCAGCCCCTGACTAAGCAGTGGTAGGAGAGGGCCAGGGATGGGCCACAACTATATACATTCTGCTCCTAGGAATCTGGCCCCCAGAGAGCCCTTACAGCTGGAGGTGTGGCTATCCCACCACTGAGGGGGAGGGGGACAGGGTGGGAAAAACAAATCCTTCTCTTCTAAGGATACATGTTGCCAAATGTTTGCAGAAAAATAACATCTGGACTTTGCCTGGAAACCACTGAGGAGCTGGGGATGTCTCTCAGAAGTTCAGCACTTGCCTAGCGCACTTAAGAGGTCCTAGGTTCCATGCCCAGTATGGCAAAAACAACCAAAACCAAAAGATACAATTGCTCATTTTGAAAAAGGGACAGAATAAGGTGATAACCTTCCCTCTTTCTCTACCCAAAGGAGTCCTAGCTTAATAGACTCTGGGGAAACAGATATCAAGACCCAAGGGGGACCTTCAGTCATCATGAGAAATGAATTTGAGTGGGGGGAAGTCCTTTCTCTGCTAGTTCTTGGGGACCTTCACTTGAGCCCCCTTCTCCATGCCCTGTGCAACCCTGACTGGTCAGTGCTACCTAACCAGTCAGCAACCCTCCTGGACCTCCACCTCCCTGCCTAGCCTCCTTCCTTGTCTTGAGGACTCCCCAGGACTACAGCCCGGCAGGAAAGAGGCTTTCTGTGAATGAAGGTAACTAGGCGAGAGAGGGGCTTTGTACCTCTTTTAAGGATAGCCACTCAAGGTTAGTCAAGAAATTTGCCTGCAGGTCACAGATAGACTTGCTATATGAGGTATCAGACCTCTGAGAAGGCAGGCTCCTAGAGACAGAGAATAGGGCAGGGTGTCCTGCCCCTTCCATGCCAGCACCTGTTTTCTTTCTTTTTTTTTTTTTTAACCAGGGCCTCATACCCTCACTGCACTTTTTTTTCTCAAGGCTATCTAACACTTGAGCTGTGTCTCTAGTCCAGCATTTTGATGTTTAATTACTTTTCTGCCTGGGCTGGCTTCAAACCATGATCCTCCAGGTCTCAGCCCCCTAAGTAGCTACATGTGCCCCTGGTGCCACTGACCAGCCTGTGCTTTTAGTAACTGTAGAAAGACCTGGGCTGAGTAAAATCTAGGTTCACAGAAAATCCAAAGGCTGAAATGAAAAACTTTGGGTGTTGGTGGTTCACACCTGTAATCCTATCAATTTAGGAGGCTGAGAGCTAAAGATTAATGTTTGAAACCAGCCCAAGGGGCTGGGAAGGTGGCTCAGTGGTAGAGTGCATGCATGCATGAGGCCCTGGGTTCAATTCCTCAGCACCACATAAGCAAAAAGAAAAAAAGCCAGAAGTGGTGCCATGGCTCAAGTGGTAGAGCGCTAGCCTTGAGCTGAAGAGCTGAGGGACAGCACCCAGACCCAAAGTTCAGGCCCCACGACTGGACCACCCCCCCCCCAAAAAAAAAAAGAAACCAGCCCAGGCAGGAAAGTCCAAGAGATTTTTTACCTTCAATTAATCACCAAAAAGCCAGAAGTAAAGTTGTGGCTCAAGTGGTAGAATGCTAGCCTTGAGCTAAAAAGCTAATAAGTAACACAGGCTGGGAATGTGGCTTAGTGGTAGAGTGCTTGCCTAGCATGCACAAAGCCCTAGGTTTGATTCCTCAGTACCACATAAACAGAAAAAGCCAGAAGTGGTACTGTGGCTCAAGTGGTTGAATGTTATCCTTGAGCAAAAGAAGCTCAGGGACAGTGCTCAGGCCCCGAGTTTAAGCCCCAGGACTAGCGCCCCCCGACTCCTCCCCCCACCCCCCAAAAAAGGCTAAGTGACAGCATCTCAGCCCTGAGTTCAAGCCCCAGTACATATACACGCACACATGTGCACATTCACACATACACATACCCTTGAAGCCCCAGAGAGGAGTGGCAAGGGCGAGCTCACCTTGCTGGGGCACGGAGCACATGGGGGCATGAGGCTGGGTTGAAGACAGCCTGCAGAGATTCACAGTCCTGGAATGACAGGTTGTGAGTCTTCTTCACCCCTGGATGGCCAGACAGCGTCTCAGTGGGCCTTGTCAATCTTCCCCCAGCCTTCCCTCTGGCTCAGGACCCCCTGTCTGAGTAGCTGCCCACTCACCATACTTGCAGTGCAGCTGGATCACCAAGCTGCTGCTCCGGCTACTCAGGGAGATGCAGCACTTTTCCACAGTCTTCTCCAGTGTTGCCAGAGAACGGAAGACAGACAGGAAGGACTGAGTGGGAGTAGGACACATCAGCCTGGCAAGTCCAATGTAGGCTCTGTCCCATAACTAGCCTAGCATGTGCGATAAAGGGACCCCATGATATTCAGGGCATCTGCACACTTGCTCATGTTTTTACTGCCTGGAAACCTGCCATCCTCCCAACAGGGCTCCCCCACCCCCCACCCCTACACACACACACACCACACATACCATTCGCTTCTATGGGCTTTATACTGTGCCCCTAGATGCATTTTGCATTGGATTGGTACTTAAAGTTCACTCTTCAGTGACCCACCACAGGTGTACAGCTGTGGAGATGCCGGGGGTGTGGGGAATACCCCTGCTGAAAGACCTCACCTTCATCTGTATCTTACAGCGCAGTGTGTCCAGATCAGAGGTGGCCACCTGGTACTGCTGGAAGAAGAGTGGGGCAAAGAGGAAGCAGGCATAGGCAGAGCGCGAAGAGTTCACAGTCCGGAGGGAGAGCTGGGACACGAGCAGCAGGAAAAAGGACATGGTTAGGGGCAGTGACGAGTCCATCCTTCTGGCCTACTTTTGCCTGCACTTGCCTCATGGCCATCGTGTGTGAAAACCACCCTACCCCGTGGAGGCAGCTGTACCATCTTCTGAAGCGCTCTCCGGACGCTCCCACAGCGCGGGGGCCGCACTTCCCGCTCTGTGATACTATTCCTCTAAGTCGACCTCACCCGCACACACCCTCCACTGGGCTCTCCAGAAAGGCAAGAGCTTTCAGTGCACACAGGAGCCGGGGAAGAAGACAAACTCAAGTCACGTCCTAACCCAGAGGATGAAACGGAAACTCCGCAGGCAAATCTGCCCCAAGACCCAGCCCCTCACCCCATCATCCAAGGGTTCCAGGTAGAGCTCGTCCCCCATCCGGGACAGGGAGTGGACGGCCTTGCCGAGCACTGCAGGGAAGAGGGCAGAGACGGGGTTAAGGTGGCGCCATTGGCCGGCTCACATGCCCCGCCGCTAGGTTGGCCCAAACTCACCCTTCACGTTGCCTCCAGTGACCAGGCACTTCATGCCGTCCAAGCACCACACGCGGGCCCAGCCTGCGATCGGGGTGAGTCTGAGATCTAGGCTGCATAAGGTCCCGTAACTGGGGCCCGGCAGCCACAGCACAAGTCCTGAGTAATCTTCCCGCGCGCCGCCCCCGGCCGGCCCCGCCCCCGTCTCCTTATTGGCCTAGACTCAGGCGCTTTCCGTCACGTGAGAAAAACGTTCGTCGACTCGGCGGTCACGTGATGGAGTTCGTTCTGGGGTGGACCCGGGTCACGTGACCCGGAGCTGGGCTCCCTCTTGGCTCCCGGCGTCCCCTTTCCCCGATCCTCTCGCTGCTGGTACGCGTCCGTGAAAACCGAGGCGCTCCGTGGGACCCACGGTGGGCCGCGCGCCGCAGCAACGGCCCGAGAGGGCAGAGCTGCGGGTCCGGCCCTGCACTGGGAGCGCCGTCTCCGCAGGTTTCCCTGGTAACTGTCAGGGACTGAGGGGTTGAAGCGGAACCGTCCTCACGCGGTCGGGTCTGGGATTGGGGGCGGCGGCGGCCCCGGCTCTCACGGGAAGGAAGAGGACTACCTGCTCTCGGGTTTCGGGATCCTTCGCCGACCTGCACTGATGCATGGAGAGAGGACGGAAGTTTCCCGGAAGAAAGGGATCGAAGGGGCTACCTAGCAGAGGGAGAAGCAATGCGGAGACTCGGTGGGGTGTGGGCCTCAACCCAGTAGAGGGGAGCGGGGACAGGGCACTGAGAGGTTGCTGCCTCCTGAGGCAGGAGAGGATCATGGCTGTGCGTCTTCTACAGACACACCAGACTGCGGCCGAGGGTCATCAGCTGCCAGGTCTTGTTGGGTGTCGGGGTTTCTTAAGTCTCAGAGCTGTCTCTGGCCCTGTGTGCCCTTTAGCACCACATTTCATGGCTCTTTGAAGGGTCACGGGCATCCCAGCATTTCTGTAGAGCTGGCAGATGCCTCACCCTTCTGGTTTTGTGGGTGGTGAAGGAAGCTATTTTTGCCCCCTAGCCTTTTACCTTTGAGCTAGTTTGTTTCATCTTCAACTCCCCTTCCTTTGCCCTTCCCTAGGGCTTATGGGAAAGGCGGCTTTGCCTTGCCTCTGTCAGTGAGCAGCCTCCCCCATGTAGGCCTTCTCTCATTAGATTCCGAGTTATCCTTAAGACTGTCTCCCCCTACCCCTTCCATTTTATCTTTCAGCAGATCCTGACTACCTTATCTCCCAAAAAGACGGCATCTTGGCCTTCCTAACTTCATTGCCACCTGGTTTGAACCACAGTCCTTTGATCTGGATTACCACAACAGCTCGCAGTGGTTTTCTGCCTCTACCCTGTCCCCAACAGTTCACTCTCCCCATGGAAGCAAAAATTACCTTCTTGAAACTTTGTCAGTGCCTCTCTCTTGTTTACAAGTGGTTGCCATAAAATCCAAATGCTTGATCATGTGCATACAGAATCTAGGTTCTGGGCTGAGAGGGTGCCTCAGTGGTAGAGCACTTGCCTTGCATGCCTGAGGCCCTGGGTTCGATTCCTCAGCACCACATAAGCAAAAAAGAAGCTGGAAGTGGCGCTGTGGCTCAAGTGGTAGAGCGCTAGCCTTGAGCTGAAGAGCTGAGGGACAGCGCCCAGGTCCAGAGTTAAGACCCCATGACCGGACCAAAAAAAAAAAAAAAAAGAATTGAAGTTGCAGAAGCCCAATGCATGCAATAGTCAACAAATGAATGAGTTGTGTTGGGGGCATAGCTTAAGTGGTTGAGTGGTAGTATGCATAAAACTCTGGGTTCAATCCCCAGCACTAGAAAAGGAAGAGAGAAGGGGAAAGGAAAAAAGATGAACAATTCAGTCATGTATTGTGTAGAAGGGGGCAGGTGCTCTGAGGGAAAAGACCTGGGGGAAAGGGATGTTGGGAGAGGACTAACACTCTTAAGAGCAGGTGGCTCATGCCTGTAAATCCTAGTTACTCAGGAGGCTGAAATCTGAGGATCAGGGTTCAAAACCAGCCCAGACAGGAAAGTCTGTGAGACTCTTACCTCCAGTTAACCACCAGAAAACCAAAGTGGTACTGTGGCTCAAGTGGCACAGCACTTGCCTTTTGCTGAAGAGCGCAGGGACAGTGCGGAAGCCCAGAGTTCAAGCCCCATGAGTGACAAAAAAAAAAAAAGATAGCATGATCAAGCCAGGCATTGGTGGCTCATGCTTGTAATACTAGCTACTAAGGAAGCTGAGATCTGAGGATCTTGGTTCGAAGGCAGCTCAGGCTTGACTTGTACCTCAGCTATGACTTGTACCTCCAATTAAGCAACAAAAAGCCAAAAGTGGAGATGTGGCCCAAGTGATAAGAGGGCCTGTACTGAGCAGAAAAGCCATTGAATGTAGGGCCCTGAGTTCAAGTCCTAGTACCACCATGCACGTGCACGTATGCACATGCACACATACACACACACACACAAAATAGCATGACTAGGTTGCCATGACTCAAAAACCAACATAAGTACAAAGACCCAGACACAAAAATAGCCATGTCAAGGTTCTGAGCAGGTTGGGCAGCAGAACAGATAAACCATGTGCAGAACCTAGGCTCCCAGCTGGGGAAGGTGAGGGACTACAGACTCCTGGGGAAAATAGATATCAGCCAGAGGCAGGGTGATCACCAACGTCACTATGAATTTATACCTTGGGAATAGGAGTGATGACAAGGGGCTGTGGGAGCATGCCCCTTGACAGACCTGGTCAAAGGCTGAGGGTGGGGCTTTCTGGAGAAAGGAGCAGTCTAGAGCAGTGAGGCATGGAGAAAGAGCTGACATACAGAGGCTTTGGTGAGATGATGTGCCAAGCAGTGCTCTGTGCCTCCACAGATGTCCTGTGCAGCCTCCTCACAAGCAAGGGCACAGGTGAGATTACTCATGGTGGGAATTTTGCCAGACTGGGGTAACCACAAGGCAGAGGGGCGGAGAAGTTTAGAATGTAAGGGATCACTGGGGTTCACCTTGAGCTAGTGTGTGGCCACCTGGCAAATAGCCTTTGCATGCTTACTTTGGGGACACTGAGCGGGTAGGGCAGCTCTGAGCTGCTGGGGCACCAAGCTGGTGGAGCACTGGTTAGCCTGCTTATGATGTGTGTCACGCCAGGTGCTGCCAGCATCCACTGCCAAGCCCTGCCCAGGCTTTTCTTGTTCCCTGGCACTTTTCCCAGCGATCAGAACCATGTTTGGCATGTAGCAGTATTTGATGCATCTGTGGTGAATGAGTGAAGAGTGCAGACTCAGAGCTATTACGAGCCTTGAACCCAGGGTTGGCTGTTGAGGCATAGAATGAGGTCTGGGGGCCAGCCTGCCTGAGTCTGAATCCCGGCTCCATCACTTACAAGTTGTGTACAAATGGACATAATGTTCTCCAAGCCTCAGTTTGCTAATGTGAAGACTGGGAGTAGTAAAAGGGCCGCTGTAAATATGTACAGAGTTTTTCAACTTTGCTGCTGCAATTACAAGGATGGCTGTGTCCTACACCCTCCACTCCAGAGTGCATCCTCCCAGCAGCCTATGATCAAAGCACAAGACAGAATGGCCCATCAGCTTGGACAAAACCAGGGCAACTGCATACTGAGATCCTTGGAGGAAAAGTCTTCCTGATGCAATACTACAGAGGAAAGGCCTGGAGAATCTTTGAATCTCCAAGGAGACAGGTTGGAGCTGAAAAGTCAGACCTAGGGGACCAGCCCAGGAGGCCATTGCTGCTGCTTTGAGCTGCCACACAGAACCCCACACCCCGTTGGTTATCCTGGGCCTGTAAGGAGAACGAGGGTGCATACCTTCTTCCCCCAAAGCTGCTGGGGGCTGGCATGAGATAATGATGTGCCCACACTGTCAGATGCTGTGCACAAATGAGACACCAGGTCTTTTCAGTCTGCAGGGCTGGAGGTGGAGGGGAGGTGGGATGGAATTTTTCAAACCCTCAGGGGGACGGGAAGGGGGAAGCTCAGGCTTGTTCACCAAAACCTGGCATGCTGGAGTTACAGGGCCCCCTTGGAGCGCAAGTGAGGTAAGTTTAGGCCAAATCAAAGGCAGCGTGCTTCACCCAGCAGGGGAGGACACCGATGGAACTCATTACCCCAAGATGTGGTCTCGGCTGGAAATAGAAATAGCTTCACAAAAGGTTTAGATAAATCCATGGATGACAGCTCCATTCATGGGTTAGAAGAGGAAGGAGGATGTTTGGGGCCTGCTGTCCCTCCCTCCCCCCTGGGTCGGCATCAGGGAGGCAACCTGGCCTCCCTAAGACCACCCCTTAGCGCCTATTAGAGGCAGGCTTCTGACTACAGGGATCCAAGAAGGTGATGCTGGTGTTCCTGTAGCCTAGAGTATGGCCTGAGTGCCCTGCTCTCAACCTTCCCAGCACTCACCATTCACTGTTCTGGGAGACCAGGGCACCTCCAGCTCTGGGGAAAGCAGCTCGGCTGAGCTGTCCCCTGAGGGACCAGCAGAGGGAGACAGACACCGCATCCAGTCCCAGGGACCAGCACAGACCAGGCAGACTAGCCTGGGTAGGGTTAAGCAAGACACTGTAGGTGCCAGTAGGTGCTAAACGTGCTAATTTCTAGGGGACAAAAGGGAAAAGAAGGCATCCTTGGCTGTGAGAGGCTTGCTATAAAGGAATGGAGGGAGGAGCTTTTAAGAAACAAGGGGCAGAATAGGAAGGAGATTGCTAATTAAGAACATCATGGCTCTGAAGCCAGGCCTCTGTGACCCTGGGCAAGTTGGGCAACTCCATGCCTCAGTGCCCCCATGGTAAAATGGCAGCTACCATAGCACCTGCCATGGGAGGACTGTGAGATTGTGTGAAGTATGTAAGGACTCCCTTGCAATGCCAGGCAGTTAATAAGTGCCTCCTACTGGGTGGGGAGAGCAGCTCTCTTGGGTCTTGAAGCTGGGCAACTTGCAAAGGTGGTGTTTCACTTCCTGTCTCACTTGCGGTGCACTACAACCCCAGGAAACTCATGAGGTAAGTGATAGATCA